CCTTCCTCCTTAAGTGTCAAACCAAGAAGTTAATTTTTATTATTTACTGTATTTATTTAAAAGTTTTGTTTATTATTTCTTTGTAACTGATAATGCAGATCATTAACTTGTATTTCTTTTAAGTCATTTAAGTAATTTTTTTTTCTTTTTTTTTACTTAGGAATTTATGATACTATACCCCACTTACCATCTAAGTACTCATTAGAGATACTTATTCAAGTAAAAATAAATGTAATAAAAATAATATAACTTGTGATCATTTAAGATGATCACAGTGTGGAGAGGAAGGAGGCAAGCAATGGGCATGTATCAGTCAGCAGGTGTTAATTTAGTGCTTACTGGTTGCCTAAAACTGTATTAAGTACCCTGGGAGATGTAAATATTATGGTCTGTTCCAGCCCTTGCAAAGTTGTAGTACTGGGGAGTGAGAAGATGGCCTAATGCTTGACAGGAATGGAACTTAACAGTGTCAAAGTGAATGTGGTTAGGAAAGGGAAAACCAGGTGAGGAAATCATGCTGCTGTGTGATCACATCAGGTAAACTCCACCCACATAGTCTTTGGATGGGCTTGAAAATAAGCCATTTCAGCCTTCAGTAATCTCTCTGGCAGTGTTGTGGAAAGTGGCCTGAGAAGGACACCAAGTCTGAATTTGGCTGGCTGACTTTTCACTCATATTGCTGGGTTTATAGAGCTGACTCTCACCATGCCCTGTAGAAACTTTTAGGTAATTTGTACAAGGGCTGGGTGCTTTAGGTGAGACTAGAAGATGCCTGGTGGCTGGGACACAGGGTTAGTCCCTGGGGTGACAAGCTTCCACCATCTTCTGGAACAGAAAAGGGTCCTTTGTTGCTCTTCTGTATTGGGGATCTGTATCACTGTTCAAACTTAATGAAACTGGGGATTTGGAAGGGTCTGTCTTTAAGACCAGCACTTTCTCCTCTACTGTCTTCTTTCTCTGTGTTAATGTTCTGGGGATTTCTTTTTTTTTTTCTTTTCAATTTGACACTATCCAATTCCATTTTTCTTGCTACGGTTGTTCCTTGGGTGAAAATTCCACCCATTTGCCCCTTTCTCACCTCTCTCCCAGCCTCCAGCCAGTCTGGGCTAGAGGCTGAATGATGTGTTTTTTCATTCTTGTGCACTCATCGAGGCTGGCCATTTGTGAGCCAGCTGTTGGGTGGGACAGCAGCTGCAGTGCATGCAAACTGAATGGCAGGCTGTCTTGTGAAGGGAGAATTAGAGCTGCCCCTCACATGGCACTGGAGGCACCCTTAGAGAGGCCTGCTGCCCCTCACATCAGTAGTGCCTGCAGCTGGGACACCAGTAATGTGAAATTATTGAGAGGTTTGAATATAACCAGTGTTAGAACAGAGCCATGCACACCTTGAATCCTTGCTACCCCGAGTGCGGGCCATGAACAGTAGTGGAACCCGAGGGGCCATGCAGCTCTGCTTTCATAGCATCTTACAGTTTTACTTTTTAATAGTGTCACTTAATGTTCCGTTATACCATTTTAATATGTTATTAAGACAGCAGGTTGTTTTCTGTGTACTAACAAGCATTTTAATTGTTTGCTTTATATATCTGAATAAAATTCTGTTTAAGCACAGATCTTATAACAGTGGTCCGCAACCTGTTTGGCAACAGGAACCGGTTTTGTGGAAGACAATTTTTCCACAGACCGGGGCGCGGGCGAGGGAATGGTTTTGGGATGAAACTGCTCCACCTCAGATCATCAGGCATTAGTCAGACTCTCATAAGGAGCGTGCAGTCTAGATCCCTGTCTTGTGCAGTTCACAATAGGGTTTGTGCTCCTCTGGGAATCTAATGCCGGTGGTGATCTGACAGGAGGTGGTGCTCAGGCGGTAATGCTCACTTACCTGCTATTCACATCCTGCCGTGCAGCCCAGTTCCTAACAGGCCACGATCAGTACCAGTTCATGGGCTGCGGGTTGAGGGCCCCTGTTATATTATTTTGGACACTGCTTAGAATGAATAAAACTACTAGACTCATTTATTTGAGTTAGTTTATTGTGCCTCAAAAAACTGCAGTTCTTCTATGTTAGTGATAACTTGAGGATAGAAAAGTGTAAATATAAAAATATAAACAAAAATCTAAATTTTTTTATTGGTCTTTTGCTTATAGCTTTGAAAAACAAAAATTTAATGTCCTTGGGTAGTTAAAACCTAGTGATTATAAAATTTGGTCTTTTTTGCTTTAAGATGCTATAATAGCTTCCTAGCATTTTTTTTAAAGCTTTCTTTTTTGTGGTTAATTGGAGAGTTTATTTAACTTCCATTGGCTGTAACTATTGACTTGTTTTATTTTTTTAAAAAAAGTATTGTTACACTTTAAGTTCTAGGATACATGTGCAGAATGTGCAGGTTTGTTACATAGGTGTACACGTGCTGTGGTGGTTTGCTGCACTCATCAGTCTGTCATCTACATTAGGTATTTATCTTAATGCAATCCCTCCCCTAGCCCCCTACACCCTGACAGGCCCTGGTGTGTGATGTTCCCCTCCCTGTGTCCATGTGTTCTCATCGTTCAACTCCCACTTATGAGTGAGAATATATGGTGTTTGGTTTTCTGTTCTTGTGTTAGTTTGCTGAGAATGATGCTTTCCAGCTTCATCCATGTCCCTGCAAAGGACATGAACTGATCCTTTTTATGGCTGCATGGTATTTCATGGTGTATATGTGCCACATTTTCTTTATCCAGTCTATCACTGATGGGCATTTGGGTTGGTACCAAGTCTTTGCTATTGTGAACAGTGCTGCAATGAACATACGTGTGCATGTGTCCTTATAATAGAATGATACATAATCCTTTGGGTGTATACCCAGTAATGGGATTGCTGGGTCAAATGGTATTTCTAGTTCTAGATCCTTGAGGAATCACCACACTGTCTTC